AAGGACTAGTACCTTTCTTAAGGATGCTACTAGGGAGGTCTTTTATGATCTACAACAGAAATTTCCAACCTTCAATCCTTGAAGACAAGGATTGCTTGAAGAGAGGAGATTGTTGTATGCCTTTTGAAACTGTTATGACTGTTAGGTAGAGACTATTAAAAATAGTTATTTTAATTTTGGTTTTGCTTTAGGCCAACTGCATGTTAAGCTTGGTCGAAGCCTCTAGCCCGTTTCAGGCGCAATTTTGTTATTTTTTTAACTGAATTGTCGCTTATTGACAATACAAATTGTAATGTTGCAAGGTTGTTAGGGGCACAAAAATTAAGGAAATTCTCTCTATTTCTCTCCCTCTCTCTTCTCTCTCCTTCTTCCTTTCCTTCTATATTCTGTACTTGAAACCTTTCTAGATTCTTTGATATTCATACATTGTAGGTGATTGTTCTAATTTGAGCTTAGGTTTTGCATCAGAAGGCTTCATGAGGACTTAAGCGTTGCATGAAGTTCAGTTGGATGCCAACTTGTCTTGTTTTGGTGAAGCCACATTGATAAAGAATTTGCATGAAATTTTCAAGGTTGGAGGAAGTTCTAATTCAGGTTCAAGAAAGTGTAAAATGAAATTTAATTCTATTCGTTTCAAGAAGTTCAAACCAAGATTAGAGTTCTCATTTAAGAAGGATTTTTGAGCTACTTCAAATTTCACAAAATTAAAGGAAGAAAAGATAGTAGAACCGAACCACTCTCCCCTGCATAGAGAGTCAAAATTCATGTGAAGATAAAAGCTGGGCTACATGCAACTTTTTGAAGCCAAGAAGAGATCAGTCTTGAAGGAATTAAAAGCTGCAGCACCTCAACAAATTTTTTTTTTTCATCTATTTAAAGACTGCATTAAAAGAGAGGATGCGTATGGTTGGGGTGACAGAGGGCCCTCCATCTAGTTTTAGTTTTCCTTGTTCTTCTAATTTCTTTCTAGTTATTTAAGCATCTTTAAATAGCTTTAATTAACAAATTTTGCAATTTAAATTCCAACTTTAGTTCCTTACAAATTTCAATTCAGTTTGTTACTCTTAAATTATGTTCAAGTTCTTTACAATTTTATTTAAATTTTGGTTGTTGCAATCTTTAAATTTTAGTTTACTCAATTTCTAGATTTTTGTAGTTCTTTTGCAAGTTTGGTTAATCAATTTCCAGCATTTAATTCTACTGCATATTTCATTTTAAATTCACTGTTTCTGCTACTGCATAAGTTAGATATAATTTAGGGTTGTTTAATTTCATAGTTTTGCAATCAATTGATTTTTATGTACTGTTTTTGGCAATTGCTTTAATTTTTCTGCAGTGTTTTTAGTTTCTGCATCTTTAAAATTATTATGCAGTTGTTTAAAGTTTGTGTGTTGAGTGAAATTAATAATTTTGTTTGTGTTTTAGGTTACCGCGTAAATTCTGCGTACTTCACTGCTTTCTGCTTTAATATCTACACCAGTTGAGAGTGGACTGTTTTAAGCATGCAGTTTGCAATTTTCTGTATCTGCATTCTATTTTAGTAATCTGTTTTGACTTTTAGTTGCTGTTTTAGGGTGATATTTAATTGCTGTTTTCAATTCTGCATTTAGCGATTAGTTCAATTTTCAATTTACTGCATTTTAATTCTGCACTTTCTTTCGAAGCTGTTTTTATATATTTTCTACATTGTTTCTCTTAGCTGTTTTGCATGTTAATTTCAATTTTTGTTGGCTGTTTAATTGAAGTTTCTTGTTATTAATTTTCATTTTATGATTTTGGCATAATTACATTTGGTTTTAGTGTTTTTGGTTTTTGCGTATTTAAGTTAGTAATTTGCTTAATTTCGATTTTCTGAATATAATTAAAAGTGTTTAATTTTGATATTTAATTCTCTTTATTAGAGTCTTAATGGGAACAAATTTTACATATTACTTTATTATTTGATTACGATTTTGTGCACTTATGGATTAGCACAATAGTATCATGACCAAAAATAATTATTAAATTAATAAAAATATTTATATTTATATGAAAATTACAAAGGTGGTTTTAACTTTAATTTTATTAATTAGAATGTTTTATAGGGTGAAAAATAAGAGTTGTAGGGCTTACTTAGATGCAAGAGCTAAGATAGTAAAAAATAAAAGTTGAACGGTTAATTTTGATGTAACTACAGTATATGGGTTTAATTAGATTTTTTTAAAAAAAATATTTAGGGAGCATTTTTCATATATAATACCCAATCATGTAGCATTTAAGCTCAAAAATTTTGTGCATGACACCGATATGAATTTGGTTCTCTATTGTTCAACTAATTATATCATAATTCTTGACCCAAGTTTCTACGACAATCAACATAAAAAAAAAAAAAAAAAAAAAGGTTTTTTAATCATTGACTCAAACCCATTGTTGAAGTCTAGTCAGTGGAATAAAGGGGTACTTATGGCAGAATGGACCAAAATGGTATTTTACAATAAGGTGATAGATTGAGCTACTATTAAACAAGTTATTAGCAGATTAATAAATCATTTGGGAATAAATTATAACATTTAATTATGATTATTCTTGTGGCTTCGCTAAAACAATATTGGACACTAATCGGAACAACCATTTTTTGAAGGCTTTATGCATAGTAGACATTAATTCGTTTATGTTTTTAAATGAAGACAACTTTCTGAAAACTCTAAGCCCTAGAACTACTGGAAGATGCATCGCATATGAATATAGATAATACAGCCAGAAAACACAGCTGGCAGTGGCTTTACCTAACAAGTTAAGTTAAAACCTTAATTTTAGATATTAATCATTGCGGGACTATCATACAGTCTGTCATTTCAGGTTTTTATTTTTTATTTTTTATTTTCATTTGCTACGCTTCAAGTACAAATTTCAAGCTCCTAATTAATAGTCAATATTATATATATATATATATATATATAAAGGAGGCATTTATTTATATTATTTTATGGGTTATACATTTTTTTTTATCATCGATCATATTAAAATTATTAAATATAATTATTAATTATGAATTTAATTTTAATTAAAATATAAAAAAGTGGATAATGCTTACATATATATATATATATATATATATTAACTAATGCCTATTGACATTTGACATTGGGGTTATTCCATTGGTTATAGAGTCATAGAATTTTATGTTTAAAATGTTGTATCTATTATTTTGAAAATATATGTAGTTGTTTAGAACAAGCTAAAAGATACAATTGTAAGACAAAGATATTAATACTAATGACTAATGAGGCTTTGTTTGTTTAGAGCAAGTAATTTTTAAGTTATGTTTGGTATACAAAATTATAATAGGATATGATAATATAATATTATAAATAAGATTAGATTAAATAATATTATCTTATTTTATATTTGAAGTATGCAAGAATTAAGATAAGATAATTTATTTATTTATCAAAATTATCCTCTCTCAAAATTTATATGATTTAAATTATTAAAGTAAATTTTAGAGGTATAGTTGGACATATAAGTTTAATCTTATGGATTAAAAATAATACTCTCTACTTGGAAAGGATTGAATAATCTTATATCAAGAAGATATCAATTTTTCTTACAATCCTTATCTCTTTTATCAAACATGATATATGATTATTATCATCTTATCTTATCAATAATCTTATGCATCAAACATGACTTTAAGAATTTTTAAACGCTGGGTTCAAGTCTCATTAAATTTAGATTTGGTTCTGTTTTATATTAAAGTTTGTACAAAATACAAGTTAGTAGATTCATACCTTACTAAATATTTGAATTTCGTCCTAGTTTATAATATTAATTTTATGCAATTAATATGTTGGTTGATTTTTGTTTTGTTATTGTTATTGTTTTTTTTTTTTGGTTTTTTTGTCTTTTATAATTTTTATAAATATAAATAAATATATATAAGTTTAAAGGTTGTTAGATGTATTACCATTTTTATTGCATTAAGAAGTGAGCATGTCAAAGGAGTGTATATGAGATGAGTGGATATTGATAAAGGTTATACACTTACGTAAACATTCATTACAATTAAGATTTATATAAGGTTCATCATTTATAAAGGTAGATTTCAAATAATATTTTATTGGATCTTACATAATTTGAAATTATGATTCATTAATTATAGTATAATTACTGTAGATAATATACTATCTCATTTCACACACTCACGTAATAAGTGAATGTGTTAAATAAGTGTATGAGATTAATGCATGTAACGCTCTCGCAAATAAAAATTACTAAAACTACTAAAATTATATATATGTATATATAACTAAGGGTTGACTTATACTATTATAATTCTTAAATTCTTTTAATCATTGGATCAAAATTAAATTTATCACTCATTTGAATTAAAATAATATTTTTGGATTTAATAATTTTGCTCTAATGGTCCAAAAAAGTATGAGAATTACACTAGTTTAAATGGATCCCTCCTCATATATAAATATATATAATTTAAGGGTTTATATTTAATGTATTATTAATTTATAATTTCTATACATTATCATTAAATCAAATGATACTATCTTATTAACAAGATAAATTAGATGATAACATCATATTAATAGGTAAATTTTTAAAAAATGTTAATGTTTTGTATATTTATTTTAAAAATTAATATGCGTTCATTAATGAGATATTATCATTAGATTTATTGAATATACATTGATAATGTATCAAATATAAATTCATAAATTAAAGCTGAAGTTAGAATAAAGTTTTAACATTTTCCCTCAGGCAAGCATTTGGTTTTGTAATTTTCTGGTATTAAGTAAATACATACAAAGTACTTAAATCCGATTAATCAGAAAGCTTGTATCTTTACTCTCTAATTTGTATCCTACTGCTTGTAAATTGTATTCTGAACAAAATAAAATCACTAAAAGGGGAAAGAAAAAAACAAACACATGCACAAAATATAAAGGCGAAATATATATATATATATATATATATATATATATATAGAAAACTGGGTTGGTCATTCATTGCCTACAGGGAGCTTCAAGAATTGTCTCCAACGCTGGCTTCCATGATCTCTGCTTGGAGTACCTCTCAACCGAATATGATGTCTTGCTCACCTGATTTTCTGGTGTCTTGGCTTCAAACGGGAAAAATACAAAACTCAGCGAAGACAGGAAAAATTTTCCCAAAATTGTTGAAAGTTGCATGTTTCAATAACTTGGTAGCCCTGTCAGTGAGACAGCTCATTTCCTCGTGTGTAAGCACTGAGTAGAGCAATTCCATGGGAAGAAGGAAGTAGAGCTGGCATCTCTCTAGCACTTCATCTGCCGTTAGACCATGAATCCTGTAATCAACTTCTAGACTGCTTGAATCACACACAAATTGTTCTGGATTCTTTAGCATTAGATCTGCTGCTTTGACTGGTTTTGTATATATCTGCATGTTCCCATTTGGGAATAGGACCTTAACTACTCCACTGGAGATGATCAAGATGATCGAAGGAGCACAAGAAGCTGCATTCCCCATTATCATAGGATTCAGGACCCAGGCATATGCCGAAACTACAAAACTATAGATAATTGGCTGACATTGGGAAAGGGAGAGGAAGGTACTAGGAATAATGGGGCACCCACTTTTCTCTTTAACCTGAAATGGATGCAGACGTAGCTAGGCTGGGGAGGGCTTGGGATCGATGATATATGCATGCGAAGATGGCTGTTGATATGAGCGATAAAGGGGAAGGATTTATTTTTTGTTGCTATACTTTATAGCTTCACATATCGCTATCAGACAACGACAAGATGCAAGCAAATTTTCATGAGTCAAAGACCCGATGGACACGTGTCATTCAATGACTCAAAAAGCATACAGTTTAGTGCCTCCTTTGCCTTTCTGGTTTCTTTTCATTTTATTATTTTTTCATTTAAAGAAATCAAGGTTATTAGAGTATAAAAACCTACAACTGACAAGAAAAGTATGACAATTATACTTCAAATGTTCTTAAAAGACTATTAAGAAAATCCAGAATAATGCTTGCGGCAGTTACCCTCATAAGTTTCTTCCAATTAATTTATTTTTTTGGGTACTGGTTCTTTAATCTTCAATAAATTGTTTATTAAGGTGAGCACATGCTGAGGCAGGGACCAAAAGCTTACCAAATGTAGCAGCAAACACAAAACGACACCACCAAACTTATGATTGGATATGGTGAGGAGCAATTTCTTCGATATTATTCTCTACGGTTGTTCACCTAAGATCATAAATAATTAATCATACCTAGAATACACCGCAAACAAATCAATTTTTGGTATACAGATTGTGAAGGAATATCTATGGCAGTCTTATATATATTTATATATATACTTTAGCAAATCTTTTTTACTTAGGTTAATGTCATGAATGATTTTTAAATTATAATAAAATATTTAATTTGATATTTGAATTTTAAAAATATCTAATATGATATCTAAATTATAAATTTGTTAATTAAGATGCTTTGAGGGTTATTTGTCTACTACATGCCATCATTTGAAGTTAGCTACATTAAAGGTAAATACCCCTCTAGCTAATAGATTTATAGTTTAAGTATCACATTAAAAATTTTTAATATTTAAGTACCACATTAAAATTTAACCATAGTCTAAAGATCATTTATGACATTAATCCTTCTTAATTCCCTAATACTTCACTTACTACTACTATCCAATGTAGACACTTAATTTTATCTTGGTAAAATTTGACTATTTGTGAAGTGCTTTAAGTTTTGATCCAGTTGAAATTCAATATGCCTTTAATTTTGGCAAGTTTTTAAAATCAAAATGGAGACTAATTTGATCCAAATACCCCAAAATCAATTATGGTAGAATTTGGTAAATTTTGGTCAAATATAGTCCATATTGGTTAAACTTGATCAAAATGGATAAAACTTGGGTCAACCCTTAAAATTCATAACCTAATTGAAATCAATATGGTTTCAAATTAAAATTTTTAATTTTTAAAACACTAAAAAGTTTAATTGCATTTCAAGAAGTGTAACATTACTAAAATACTCTTAAAGGTATTTTCATAATTTGGCTTTCTTTAAGTTGAATTTTTGTGAAAACTTTTAAATCATAATTGAATATTTTAATGATTTTTGACGCATTGAAAACCCAAATCACATCTTGGGAGGTATGAAATTACAAAAATACTCTACTCTTAGGGTACTTTTGTAATTTCACCTTTTTAAGGTCAAAATTTTATGAAACGATCCAGATCATAATTTGATATTATTTGATAAGTTTTAGAATTTTGAAAACCTTGATTGTACCCTTGGAGGTGTGAAATTATCAAAATGCCCATTAGGGGTAATTTTGTAATTTGACTTTCCCAAGATAATTTTTTGCAAAACTTTTCAGATCATGATTTTATAATATTTGATGATTTTTTGTGCATTTGAAATTGTAACAGTATTCTGGGAAGTGAGAAATTATCGAAATACCTTTTAGGGATAATTTTATAATTTGACTTTTCCGAGGTTGAATTTTCACAAAAATTTTTAGATCTTAATTTCATAGTATTTCATGATTTTGATACTTTAAAATCACAAAAATGAATACGAAAAACATTGATTTTCAAGAAAATAGCTTAAGGATTGAAAATTTTATATTAGGGGTAAAATGATCTTTTCACTTGGTTTTAATGACTATAAAAATCTAACCTTTGTATTAGACAATTTGGGCCATTGGATCACAATGGAAATCTTGATCCAATGGCTAAAGTTTGCTCCTTGAAACAAAAATAAGTGTGAATTTTAGATCCTTGGATGAATAAGTGATTTAATGACTATAATTCAATATTGGGTGGATATTTTGGGACCATCTTCTTCAACATAGAGGGGAGTTTTTTTTGCATGAAAAAACTAGATAGGAGCTTGTGAAAGCAAAAAAACAAAGGAGAAAAAAAAAAAGAAAAAAAACCTTGTGAAAAAAAAAGAAAGAAGAAAAAAATCCTTTGTGTTTTGCTTGCTTGAAGGTAAATTTTCTCAACATCCATACTTGTATTTCTTGCATCCTCTTCACATTTTTCATTGTATTTTTATTTTGTTTCATCCATTTTTCTTGTTGTTTTGTTGAAGGTTTCTAGTTTATTTTCTTACTCAAAATTCGAATCAAACTTCATCCAACTAATCAATAGTTAGAGTGAAGCTAGAAAACAAATAAACAAAACACAAATCCACCATTAAAAAACTAAGTTGGAGGTTTGGCCAACCTCCTCCACCATGGGCAAACCTCTTCTTGGATCTCTTTTTATTTTTTATTTTACTTTTTTTGCTATCATTATATGTTTGATTGATGGTTCATTTGTTATATGATTAGTTTATGCTTGGTTTTGAGGTATATGATGGTGTTTGGCTTGTGTTTTTGTTCATATGATTTTCTTGCTATTTTAATATGTTACATGTTTGATAAATCCTCCTTAAAGTAAAAATGTCTTTGAATTTTGGTTTTATGGATGTTCAATGCATGTCTAAGTAAAATGGCATGAAAAAGTGAGCTTGGTAATACTTTGAAGGTTCGGCCAAAAATGGGATGTAAAGGTGAGTTTGATGATACTTTGAAAGTTCGGCTATGATGATTCTTTGGGTTGTCCGAACCATGTTCTTCATTTGGTGGGTGATGGTGGCTTTGATTCATATATAGGATTATGTTTTTATAATGATTGGTAAGTTTTGAATGTGTTTGAACAAAACTTTCAATGGAAAAAAATGTTGTTTTGATGATTGATTTTGGTTGATTTTGAAGTTGTTTGGTTGGGTTTTAATGATGACCAAATGGTGGAACATTCAAACCAAATTCAAAATTTTTTTCATGTTTAATCCATTTTGTTCTGGAATTTTCATGCACAACATGTTTGTAATTTAATTTTGTAAATACTTTAGTTTGTAATTATTTTTTATGTCATACTTTTGGCACATGCATTTATTAATGGCATTTTTGTGATTTGCTTTTGTCACATGTCCATTTTCATAAAACCCCAAATCCCATAAAGCCTTAAATTCCATGAAATCTTAAACCAAACCTAAACCCCAAACCTTAAACCTTAAACATCAAACCTTAAACCTTAAATCTTAAATCCTAAATCTCAAACCTTAAACCCTAAACCCCAAAACTAACCCCCAAAGCCAATCATGCATTTGCATTTCACTTTATCTTATCATTGCATGCATTTTTTATTATCATTCATTCATACTTTATAATTCATGTTATATTGTCATGCATTCATCATGTTTTATTATGTTTATACATCTCATGCATTTTTTTTAAAAAATTGATTTTCAAAGAAAAATATTTTTATCGTAATGTATCAGTTCGAAAACTCCATCGCTAGACGTAAGATGTTTTAAAATCGTGAAAAAAAAAGGGACTCACCACCAATCTTTTTCAGGGTGTGATTGACCACCCAAAAATTTTATCTTTTTTAATAAAACAATAAAATGGGTTTAAAGCTTTATTAAAAAGATGATTTTGGTCTAGAAAACAAGATCGGGTTTAGGAGTTGATTACGTGTGGAGAAGGATTAACACCCCCTCACCGCCCATAAAATTGGTACTAATTAATTATGCGTTATTTGTAATTTTGGATAAAAATGGTTTTCTATATGAAATTTAATTACAACCACCTTTATTTTGTGGAAAACGAAATTAGTTTTTAAAAGAAATATATTATTAAGGAATATTAAAAAAATCTTCAAATTAAAAAAATACCTTCAAAATCCCCGATATAAAGGCAAAATTCAAAGATAGTATTTCTATTCAAGATTTACCATAACATTCCTTAAAAAAAATAAAATAACATTCTTTGTAAATGATAATTATTGATGACTCTCCAGCATCTAGGTAGAGTACCAATCAATTATATTTAATAAAATGTTATTTTAATTTTATTTGTTTAAAACCAAAAAATTTTAAGAACATTTTATGTGGTAAAACAAAAATATAATAATATGATTAATATTAAACCAGCATAACTAAAACAAATATATATATATATATATATGTATGCATTATAAATTAAAACATATGCAAAGTGATGATCAAGCGTGAATTTAAGAACCGGGATTTCAAATATAATGAAACCACCTGAATTCCCTAACATCTAGGTGGAGCTTGGATGTGAATTTTTATATTTAAAAATCTCGTCTCATTATTAATATTAGTTAATTTAGCAAATTTATTTCGAGTTACAAAAATGTATGAAAATTCTTTAATGAAATAAATTTTCCTAAGTATCCCAACATCTAGGTGGCATTTGGGAATAGATTATTTCATAAAACGTTTTCATGCAAATCCTTAAAAATTTAAAATTTTAAGAAAGCTTTTTATGTGGAAAAAAAAAACAGAAAGTAATAATGTAATCAATATTAAATAATCATAACTAAAACAAACATATGTATGTGCATTATAAGTTAGTACATTAATCTAAAACAAAACGCGTGCAAATGATGATCAAATACAAATTTAAGAATTAAAATTTTAAATATAAAAG